TATTCTGGCTCCTTATGTGTCTCCATGTGTCCTTGTTATATCCTTACTGGAGGCCTGGTGCATGAAATTCGCGCTTTTGGGGTGGGGGGAGAGGGTCCCTCAGCCTTGCCTGCACCCTCTTGCAGTCTGGGAGCCCTCAGGGGATGTTCAATTGATGGCTTATATATATGTATATATATATATATATACATATATACATATATACATATATACATATATACATACACACACACACACACACACACACACACACACACATATATATATACATACACACACCGTATTTTTCGGACCATAAGACGCTCCGGACCATAAGACGCACCAGTTTTTAGAGAAGGGAAATGAAGAAAAAAAGATTCTGAAACAAATAGTGTCCTAAAATATTTTATGTGCATTAAAACCCAACATCACAGTCATAAACACATGTAATCAACCCTGTAAAGTAAATAGCAGCATTTAGAACCATTTTAGAGCCAGGCAAGCACACAGAGACCACACAGAGCCGGGCAAGTAAAAAACTTATTTTTTAAAGTATATGTGTAGGCTATATTTGGACCATAAGACGCAGGGACTTTCCCCCCCCACTTCTGGGGGGAAAAAAGTGCGTCTTATGGTCCGAAAAATACGGGGGTGTGTGTGTGTGTGTGTGTGTGTGTGTGTGTGTGTGTGTATATATATATATATATATATATATATAAATTTTATTGATTTTTTACAGTGAGGAAGGGAGAGGGATAGAGAGTTGGAAACATCGATGAGAGAGAATCATCGATCAGCTGCCTCCTGCACACCTCCCACTGGGGATGTGCCCGCAACCCAGGTACATACTCTTGACCAGATAAATTGAACCCAGGACCTTTCAGTCCGCAGGCTGATGCTCTATCCACTGAGCCAAACCGGTTTCGGCAATAAAATATATTTAGAAAAATAAAAATAAAAGACTTTATGAATTTTGTTAATGGGGAATGTTCTTATGTAACATTTAAATAAGTCTCCATTTTAAGCTGCTTTTGCTGAAATTTCTAGTTGTTGGGTTTTTAACTTCCTTTATGTCTCTCATCTTTCCTTATCTCTTTATTTCACTCTCTGAGAAATTTTCTTAACTTGAAAACATTCTATTATCTATTAATTTTTAATACATTTATTTGTATATTTAAATATTTAAGAACTCTCACTTGTTGTCTGGTTCTTTCTTTTTTTCTTCATACCATCCAGGTTTTTAAAATCTCTGTGAGGATATTAATAGAATGTAAAAAAATTTTTAGTTTTTTTATGTTTATTGTTTTTTTTAATACATTTTTATTGATTTCAGAGAAGAAGGGAAAGGGAGAGAGAGATAGAAACATCAATGAGAGAGAATCATTGATCAGCTGCTTCCTGCATGTCCCCTACTGGAGATCAACTCACAACCCAGGCATGTGCCCTGACCAGGAATTGAACCATGACCTCCTGGTTCATGGGTTGACGCTTAACCACTGAGCCATGCTGGCTGAGCTATTTTTTTTTTTTTTTTGCACTATTTTCATTTCCTTTCAGGTCATTTTATTTGTCTTACTCTCATTTGAGGCTTTACTCAGATGTTTGGTGATCTTTGTCCTTTTGCATCCAAGAATAAAGAACTGAAAAGCTTGCTGATTAGTTACCTCCTAGATGGGCTAAGGAAACTGCAACCAAAGTACATGCCCCTGACAGGTATGTGTCCTTGATTGGAATCAAATATGTGACCCTTTGGTCCACAGGCTAATGCTCTAATCCCTGAGCAAAAGAGGCCAGGGCTTCTGGGCCTTTTAAAATGGCCAGTGAGCTCAGGGATTGGAATGTCGGCCCCCACACTTAAGGGTGATGTGTTCCTGGTCAAGGGCACACACCTGGGTTGCAGGTTTGATCTCCGGCCCCAAACCAGTCAGGATGCATGCAGGAAGCAACCAAATGATGTGTCTCTCTCACAATTGTGTTTCTCTCTCTCTCTCTCTCTCTCTCTCTCTCCCTCCCTCCTCTTTTTTGGTGGTTAAACATGCCCTGAAAGACCAGTGACCATGCTGTAGGACACACACAGATATCCTGGTCAAGAGCCCTAGCTGAGCCCGCATGGGACATCCAGCATCAACTGCCCCCGGTGTGTGTGAGGGAGCCATCCAGGACACTCCACCCAGCCAAGCCTTTAGATGACTTCTGCCTCAGCCTGTCCAGACTACAACCACACAGGAGACCTTGAGTGAGCATCATCTAGTTAGGCCCAGTCAACCTACAGAATGGTGAGAGATAGGAACAAATGGTTATTTTATGATGCAGAATTTCAGAGGTGATTTGCTACATAGCCATAGGTAATTGGTACAGTTGGCATTCTTCCTCTAGCACGTTGCCTCAAGTTACAAGGTGGCTGCCTCCGCTCTAGGCATCATTGTAAACAGCCACATCTAAAAAGGGAGTGAGTACGATGCAAAGGTTTCCTCCTTAAGCAACTTGGAAGGGGGAGAAAATCTTACCCAGAAGTCCCCCAGGAGATACCTCCCCCCGACCTTCACATGGATTTCATTGGCCAGAACTGGGTCATGTAGTCTCTCCTAACCACTATTGAGGCTGAGTGCACGCTCTTTAGTGAGGGGTGAGCAAAAGAAAAGGAGGCTGGGGATGATGGTTGGGTGGCCAACCCACACATCTATTATACAAGTGATGTGGTGGCTGTTCTAGGAGAAAGAGAATCAGGTGGGAAAATGACCCATTGCTAAAGAAGGAGCCTTCACTGCTCCTTCCAGAAGCGAAGCGGCCTCAGTGGGAACAACTTTATTAAAAGCTCCCTCTTTCAATAGGAATCATAGTATAATGGCTGGAGCCTTGCTCGGGGAGGCAGAACCTGGCACTACTGCTTGCTAGTGATGCAATATTGGCGGTCAGTTCCCCAGTCTGTGCCTCATTTCCATAATCTGTACAATGAAAGGGTTCCTTCCAGCCCCTTCAGGTGAGGAGGAGCCAGGGAGGAAGGGAGGTGCTGGATGGGTAGTGTGCATAGAGGCTGTGCAGTGCCCAAGTCAAGCTCAACAGAGCCTGCCTCTAGCCACAGATGTTGGGATTTGCCAAACAAACCCTAATCACTTAATGAGAAATGAAAATAGTGTCTGGTTCCTCCACTTAATTGCCTCTTTGAAAACAACATATAGTAATCACCATAATCGCCTCATAAAAACCAGAGAATTTGATGACTGACACGCCTCATTTCTGGGAGGAATTAGAGGCAAAATTAAAGTGAGGAATTCTTGGCCTTCTTTGGCCTTGGCTCCCTGGAATCAGGACTTTGCCCACAGAGAGCCTGCCACCCTGGACAGCCTGCTGGCCCTAGCCAAATCATGCTCCGCTGCCAATGTTTCCTAGCAGGCCTGCTGCCTGGGCCTCTTCTATCGTTAGTCTTGCCTACAGAGGTAGACCAGATGGGTCAGGAAGGCCTGCTGTCCCTGAGGTTTGGATGGATGACCTGCAGGAGGACACAAGAACCTTGTGAGTCCACTTGCAACACTGAGCTAAATGTACAAAACCAGTTTGGCTCAGTGGATAGAGCGTCAGCCTGTGGACTGAAAGGTCCCAGGTTCAATTCCGGTCAAGGGCATGTACCTTGGTTACTAGCAAATCCCAAGTAGGGGGTGTGCAGGAGGCAGCTGATTGATATTTCTCTCTTATCCATGTTTCTAATTCTCTCTCTCTCTCTCCCTTCCTCTCTGTAAAAAATCAATAAAAATATTTTTAAAAAAACAATAAAAGTACAGACAGAGACTGTAGCTCATTGTTTCTTCATCTAGTCTTTGTTTGTTGTTAGTCCTCACTTGAGGATATTTTTTAATTGATTTTTAGAGAGAGGGGAAGGGAGGGGGAGAAACAGAGAGAGATACAGCAATGAGAGAGAGGCACATACACCCTGACTAAGACTGAAGATCCAGCCTGTAACTGAGGTAGCTTGACTGAAACCAAACCTGGGACCCTTCAGCCTGAGGGCTGATGCACTATCCACTGAGCCAAACTGGCTAGTACTGAAGCCATCTAGTCTTGACCTACAAGAGGTGTTATGACCTCTGGAACACTTACTGAGATGCCCTGACAACAAAAAGGTTCACTGGGCTCATCAGACATCTGTCCCCTTTTACTTCCTCCATAAGCACTCAGAATCACTGAGTGTCAAGGTTAGAAGTGTCCTCTGGGTTTGCCTCTCCAGCTGTCACCTTGATATTGATTCTTGTCTCTTTCCTCTCATGCTTCTCTACTCATTCATTCAAAAATATTTCTTAAACCAATAACGTGTGTCAGAAACATCAATTCTTACCACAGTAGCCAGACTGGTTCTTTTCAAACCTAATTTTGATCAAGTTACTCCCTGTCACTCTCCAGTGGCCTCCCAAATCAAAGGGAGAGCCAAGTTCCTCCACTAGCCTGTTGACTCTGTGCCCTGCCCTTTGCTCACTCTGTCCCAGCCACAGCGGCCTCCCTGCTATTCCCACAAAATACCTCAGCCCTTTTGTATCTGCTGTTCCCTCTGCCTGGAATGCCCTTCCTCATGTGCCCAAATGGTTCCCTTCCTTCCTTCTTAGCCCTTCCTGATCTCTATATAAAATTGTGCCCCAACCCCCTCTATTATACTTCTCTATTTGTTTGTCATACTTATTACTTTCAACGATGATAAAATTTTCTCATTGCCTGTCTTTCTACACTAGGAGGTAAGCTCCAAAGGGCAGGGATTTCTGTCCTACTTATTCTCTTTGTATCCCTAATACCTCCTAGTGCCTGTCAGCTAGTGGGAACTCAGTAAATATTTGTTGAATGAATAAATAAATGAGGACAGAGCAGTGAAAAAGATAAAGTCCTACCCTCATGGAACTCAGGGTGGAGGCAGACGCTGAGCAGAGTCACCAGCAAAACTGAGAACCGCTCTGTGATAAACACTGGAGGTCTGACTGTGGAGCCTGGGAGAGCTGTTGGAGAGGATGGCACATGTGGGGTGATGAGGGTTTGGGGCCATGAAGCTTGGGGAGGAAAAGGTGCTGGAGAAGCTGGAGTTGCAACCCCTAGATCCTCTACAGGCAGCAGGACCCCATGATCAGAAGGCTGCCAGGTCCAGTTCTGGCTCTGCCACTTCCAGGCCATTCACCCTGGGGCAAGCTGCCTCGGTGCTGGCAGCTCTTAGGCTACTGGGAGAAACAGATGAAATGTTTGTCAGAGCTGGACCCTGAGGGACTCGTAAGTGCTAGTTAAGGTCCTGCTCCGTTCTCTTTTGTCAAACCTCTTAACATTCAGCCTCTGTTCATCTGGCCCAAAGGAGCCGTGGGGAGTGGTGTGAGGAAGGAGGGCAAGCTGGGGGGCTAATCAACCTGAATGTAAAACCTAGCAGGCGTCTTCAAACTTTTTAAAGTGGGGGCCAGATCACGGTCCCTCAGAGAGCTGGAGGGCCGGACTATATGAACTACTAATTCCTACTGTAACACCTCGGCTGCGCTCACTGCCCAAAAAACCTGGCAGGCCGGATCAGACTCCTCTGCGGGCCGCATGTGGCCCGAGGGCCGTAGTTTGAAGACGCCTGAGGGGGGGTGAGGAACCTCCCTGTCTCTCTCTGCCTCTTTATCCTTTCTCTTCCCAGACCAGCTTTCTCTGCTCCTCTGATCAGACTGGGGAAGATATGAATGCTCACAGTGCCTGACAGGTCCTGAAAAGAGTTCCTCAGTCCCCAAGGGAAGGGGATTGGCCCAACTGGAGCAGGTGTCCTACTCTGACCCAGTCAGCTTTGGGAAGAAGGAGTGGGGTCCTATAGTGTTAACATGGCTGCCAGTTGCTCTTCTGAGGGTCATTCCCTATAGTCATGGGAGTTTGGGGCTGTTCTGAGAGAAGAGAAATTGTCCTGAGCAAGCAGGTACTCCAAAGATGCCTCTTCCATATCTATAATGCCATGTGGCTAACTGCTCTTGAACTCCAGTTCCAGGCTATCCTACTCACCTACTCAGACCTCGGGCAAGGCCCACTCCTCCTGGGACTGCAGTGTCTTCATTTGTGCACAGAGGAAAGTGGGACTAAATGTTCTGCTGGGACTTTGGGGCAGTTACTTGCCCTCTTTGAGCCTCAGGCTTAGTCATTTAAAATGGGAGTCATGTTATCCACCTCACAGCGTTATTGTAAGACAACATCTAACATGGCTGGGATACAGAGATGCTCAAAAATGATAGTGACTTTAGTAAATTTAAATTGAGGTGGCTTCTCAGCTCACTGGATACCCCCATGTGTTGGAAAGAATTGTTCTTCCTCTAATCGGAAACTGGCATCCTTTGACAGTGACATGTTCAGGGTGAGCATGGATCCCTCAGAGTGCTTCTCTGAAGCTTTTTTTTCTTTTTTCTAACTGCAACTCTTTTGTCTTCCTCTGCAGAACTACAATATAAGGATTGGAGCATGAAGTTGCCATTAGCCAGGCTCCCAACCTCATGGAGAAAGTGGTCTGTGAAAGTGACTCTGATATGAAGAGAATATATGAATACTTGGTTCCAGATATCGCTAAATCCAATTTCATCCTAGCCATGATTTATGAGCCAACATCCCCACTCATTTTTCTTTAGTTTGAGTTGTTGTTCTGTCGCTTGCAACCAATGACTCCTGATAATACATCCTCCCTTCTCTCACCAAGCCTCTGCAACCTATCCCCTTCATCTCTGATGCTTTATTACCATAGTCATCAATGTATTCATTCTATCAATTAGTCAGCACCCATTGGGCAGCTAGTCTGTTCCTGGTCCTAGGTTGGACACTGGGATTCTTGCTTAAGAAAGAATTCATTCACTTTCCCATGTCTCAAGACTCACAGAGTTAGGTAGAGGGAACTAAGCACACATTCAATACTGAGGGTGGTAAATGGCTGTGACTAAGAGAAGTACCGGAGCTGTGGGAAGTCAAGAGAAGATGTATCCCTGTTTGGAAGGCTTCCTGGAGGAGGCAGCCTGAGGACAATTTTTCAGATGGGAGCGGGTGTGGAGAGTGGGCAAAGGGTATTTCAGGCAGAAGAACCTACCTTTAATGGGACCAAAAGAGAATGAGAGAAAGCAGCAGCCTGGAGCCAGAGGAGAGGAGACACAGGAGCTGAACTTTTATTTTTGTATTTTCCACCCATGTAACTTCTGGGGAGAGAAAGCACTCATTTTTTAAGCTTGGAAAGTCCACAGGGTGGAGTTTTGAACAGGGATGAAAAGAAGTGGCTCTTGACCACGGCAAAGTACTGGAGCGAATGATTCTTCCCCAGTAGGTTGCCTATGGTCCTCACTCCCACCAGAGAAGCCATGCTCACAGTCGCATCCAGCAGCTGGCCCTCCATCTGTGGGACCCATCTAAAAATAGGAAGGCCGGGAGTCTAACACCAAGCAGACAGCAGAGAAGCAGCCCAGGCAGCCTGGGAGGAGCATAAATGTCCTCCCTCGTAGGAAACATACTCTTTACATTCTGAGCAAAGGCTGTTCACAATGCACCCTGGAGAAAATATGCAGTTATTGCCCCCAAACATGCCAAAGCCCTACTAATGACTGCACGCCTGCTCTGAAGGCTTAAACCATTCCAGATGCTGCTGCCTGTCTCCGGGAGAGCTCTCCCTTCTTCCTGCCCACCCGAGGAGCTCTGGACTCTTCGACCTGCCCAAGTCTCCCTCTTAACCCCTCCTGAGACTCATCCAAGGTGACAGGACATAAAATAAACATTTGTGGGAGGCGACTGTTCCTAAAGATAAAGCCAACCCACGAGGGACAGCACAGTCAGAAGAATCACTGCAAAAGGGAGTGTTCCTAAAGACTGAGAACATCTCCTCTCGGTTCTCTAAGGGAGAAAGTGAAGCTGGAGTTGGTCAAGATGATTGCCCAGGGGGTCACCCAGCCAGATGGCCTTGCCCAGAGCATATTCCCTGGTCCCTGCTTGGGGAGCTTCTCAGATGGGAACCCGTGCTTCCTACTATGGAAATACAGGGTCATTTCTAACCACCCTTCTACTTCTTTGGGGACCCCTGTGCCTGGATCCACAAGTGATGAGTCCCAGGCCTGGCCCTCAGGGAGCTGAGAGCCCGGTGAGGGGGCAGACCCCATGAGCGGTTTATACAAAGCAAAGAGGGGAGTGCTCTGAAGAAGCTGCCCTGTTCAGTCACCTCAGTCTGGGCTGCCAGACTCCTCTCTCCTCTCTCTGTAGCACACATTGCTGAGGGTCCTTTTCCTCCTTCCTAAGGGGAGCCATTTCCCTAGTATCCACTCTCTTCCGCACAGCAATCTGCGTGATGGGAAAGTGACCCATCCCAGTTCCTGGAGTAAGTAGGTTCTATTTAGTCCTGGTCAAACTGGTAATACGTTCCTCCTTGTATTAGTTGAGGAACAACAAAGTGACCCAATGCTGGCCAATGAGAGCTTTCCTAAGAAATGTCGGCATAGAAAGACACACCTTTCTTGGCTATGTGGAACTCAGGTGTTGTAGTTCTGGGTGCTGAGGTATCCTGTCACCAGCACGAAGATAAAGCCAACCCACGAGGGACAGCACAGTCAGAAGAATCACTGCAAAAGGGAGCCGGAGCCCCAACCACATCCTGCCTCTGACTTCCTTGTCAAGGAGAAAATACACTTCCCTACATCCTAACTCATTCTGAGTTGAGGTTTTCTGTTACTTGAAGCCAAAAACAACCTAAATGGATAAGACCCTTCCGGTCCATCGTCCACCTTTCAAACTCAGTGGCTATTATACAACAGGGCTCTTATCACATCACTTCCTGACTCCAACCACCGATAACCAGTTTTAGCAGTTAGGATAAAGGTGTTGTTCAATGTCTCCTGTCCCTCAAGAGCACCTACACCCTCCTAGACAAATGCCAGCCCCTGAGAACAGGGTGCTTGGTCTTCATCACGGGTCCCTAGTGCTGAGCAGAGAGTAACGGGCACAAAGCAGGCACTTAGAAATACCGCAGAATAGATGCAGAGAGCAAGGAGTGAGGGGGCAAAGCCCTACACTCCACTCTGGCTTTGCACCGACTTGCTTGGGAACTTTAGGCAAGTCCCTCCCCTTTCTGGACCTTAACATCCCAAACTGTAAGAAGGCATATTGGACTAGAGCAGTAGCTAAAGAATGGGATTGGAAATCTCTCTCAGCTGCTCTGGACAGTATTTGCACTTTTGGTTAATCCACTAATGGCTTAAAAATAAAACCCATCCGGAAGTTTTGAAATGTGGGCACTTAACAATCACAGCAGCATCAACAACCATTCGAAATCCATTCATACTTGTGTGTGTGAGAGACACTTTGTGCATCCTTTTTACAGACAGCCCTGGGTGCCACGTGGTTTTCAGATGTCTGGCTTTCGCTAAGCGGCCCGTCGGTTGGGATTCACTGACTTAGATCCTCTCAGGGTTCTTCAGGCACGAGGGGCTGATGTATCTAATAATGGCCATACGGGTTGTACAACTTGCTCAAGATCACACGACAAATGAGTGTGGGTTCCAGTGCACTCTCCTCAGCCGGGGCTCCCTTGGCTCAGCCAGCCTGGCCGACAGCGCCTCTCCCCCACAGCCTCCCTGGAAATAAGAAGCAGGGAGGCCCAACGGCCCTGAGATTGCCTGGAGTGCAGGCAGAGGTAGATGGCAGAATGCAGTACGCTGACAGCCCCAAATGACACAGAACATACTTCAGATGCTGTTCTGTGGTTTGGGAGCGGCTGGAATTACACCCTCAGGGCTGAGCCAGCATTGTCTGAGTCTGGGCCCTGCTAAGGCAAGGACCGCATGGTGGGGGTCTCAGCTCTGGGCTGCAGAACTGAGCAGAGAGGCAGCAAGGGCTGGAGGCAGATTCCTAGCTGGAAATCAGGCACAGGCTCCTTTTGTCTTTTCAGAGACATGTGGGCATTCGTTAGCTGGTTTGTACATTCATTAGTTTATTCATTTATTCATTCTGCAAGGTAGTCAGTCACTCAAGAGATGCTCAGAAGTGTGCAGCTCTGCAGCCTGGTTTAGGGCCCAAGGATGAACTGGGCACAGAGGGAGGCAAACCAGAGCATGTGCTGAAATCTCTCAGTACTTTCAGGCCAGAGGTGCCAGCGGGCCTTTTGCCTAGGGAAGGAGAAAGAAAGGAGAAATTGGGAAATGTTTTCTAAAGAATGAAGTGGTTGTTTTCTGTGAGCAGTTCTCAAAGGACGAGGAGCACACCAGCAGCTCAGGGGAAGGGGCGGGGGTGGGAAGCGGGGGTGGGGGGGTGGGGTGGGGTGGGGTGGGGGGGGTGGGGGGGTGGGAGGGAGAAGGGTGAATACCTTTTCTGCATCTATATAGGAAACCCTCAGGGTTTTGTTCACTTGCTTGTTATTTGTTTGACAATGTGGAAGTGCAATCTTTCAGAGGGACTTCTTGTTACTGCAGATCTTAGGGGATCAAGGGGCTGGTAGGAAAAACAGATGAGATTGTATTTGTGTGGGAAGCTGGCAAAATGGGTTGTGCTCATTTTGGTTAGTTAAGGCTCAGAGTTGGGGAGGACCTGGCCTTTGGCTAAAAGTAGCTCCTTAGAGATCCTGTGTGGTTCAGGGAAGCGGGATACATGGGGGTGGTGAGAAATGAGGCGGGAGGGCCTGCAGGTCCAGTTGTGTGGCGCCTGCCAGCCCTGTTCATGACTCCTTATGACTCCTGAGATAATGGGGAGCCACTGAAGGTGTTTAAGTGGCTGCTGAGTAGAGAAGGAATCAGAGGGGGGGGCCACAAGCCCAGCCAGGTGGTGGCTGCCATTGGCTATTTGAGTGTGGATGTTGGCCTGAATAAGGAACGAGACAGGGAACATGAGAAGAGACTGGATTTGAGAGAAACTTCTGAGAACTGACAGGTCTTGGTACCTGGAGGTGGTCAGAAAGAGAAAGGAGTAGAGAATGATGACCAGTTCTTAGACTTGTGTCAAACTCGATGTTTAAGCCCTTCTCTGAGATGGATGGCTGGAGGTTCTCTCTCTGTTCTGCCTGGAGTGAATGGGAATGAAGGGTCTGGTGTGCCCAGACCAGAGCTTCGGTTCACACCTCATCACATGCTCAGCCCTCCCCTCGGCTCCCTGAGCCTCCAGCCTCTTCCCTGTCTGGCCTACCAGCTGCCACACTGATCTGAACAAGGGATATGATCATCTCATTCCCCTGCTGAAGAGCTTTCAAAGTCTCCCTGTTGTCTCTAGAAAGATCTGAGCTCCTTAGGCTGGTAAATAAAGTCAGCTACAAAATGACTCCAGTTGTGGGGGAAAGAGGGAGGGGTCCTGCAGTAGCCCCCAGGGTCTCTGAGATTTCTTTTGTTTCCTGAGCCCCTTCTGCAGCTGTTGGGCTATGGGATAAGTGGACGTTGTGATGGGGGCTTTTAGAAAGAAATGACTATGGAGCAGTCTCAAAGCCTTATGGGGTCTGGCAGCAGCTCAGGCTGGCCCCTTAGAGCCTTATTGGGTTAACATAGCTCTTTCTCCCCAGCACTCCGGAGGGGAAATCATAGGGTCTTCCTAGAGGGGCTGCAAATCTCAGGGTAAAGACCTGAACCGAGCAGAAACCGGTTTGGCTCAGTGGATAGAGTGTCGGTCTGCGGGCTGAAGGGTCCTAGGTTCGATTCCGGTCAAGGGCATGTACCTTGGTTGCGGACACATCCCTGTTATGGGGTGTGCAGGAGGCAGCTGGTTGATGTTTCTCTCTCATCTATGTTTCTAGCTCTCTATCCTTCTCCCTTTCTCTCTGTAAAAAATCAATAAAATATATTAAAAAAAAAAAAAAAAGTCCTGAACCGACTTCCAGCCTAAGCCCCTGCCCCTTCTCCCAGACACTGGTTGGGAGGCTCTGGCTCCCACCCTCTGCTCTTTGCCTGGAAGTGCATCTTGGCTGTGGTGCCGCTGTTCAGGTGAGGCTGGGGCAGGGAGCCTTGGGGGCTAATTCTAACAGCTCTGCACACAATGGGAATTTCCTCTCCTATCTATGGAGCCATCAATGCCATGTGCCCTGACCTGGGCCTTTGCCCTCCAAAGGGCAGTGGGAAGGCCAGCCCCAGGGCCAATCCCTGGCCATTAATCCCTCCTGCCAGTCCGAATATCCACCCAGCGTGGTCAGACAAAGGACTGCCCAGCCCGGCCACTGTGTTCCTCCCGCCCCAGGGGCTCCGCTCAGACACTGGGCCGCCTGGAATCCGGGCCCATGAGAAAGGGGCTGCCTTCCCTGGCCATCTTATGCCCGGATGCTCAGCCACATCCCGTCCGGCCCAGGGCCCGTGAAAAGAGGGCCCAGCCACGCTGAAAACACGGATTAGCCCTTGGGCTACCCTGACACTGGCCCAATGGAGGAGGCCATGCAGGCACTGAGAGCTGATGAAGTCTGGGTTCTCACCCCTTAGGCCCAGCTCCCTGCCCCCACCCTCCCCAGGATTAGCGCAGTCAACCACATAGTCAGTACCGTTTCTTGAACATATACTATGTCCCAGGCTCTGCACATAAATCAGAAAATTGAATGTACAAGAAATTGCAGTTTGCCATAGGAGACAGTAAGAGCCACCCCTCTCCCACATTTGGTGTTGTGAGACAGAGGCTGTGGTAGGGAGCTTCAGATGGGACTGGATTCAGACCTAGGGAAGGTGGGAAAGATGGTAGCTCTTGGTCTATTCCTGAGTCTAACGGCATCATTATGCCACACCTGGTTGAAAAACCCAGGCTTGGCAATGACTTCTCTGGCTCTGCCTCTCTCCTTCCCCTCCTGGTTGAATTCTGGATCTCCTGTTACCAAGTGCCAGTGTGGGCCAGGCCCTTTCATCCCCGGTCTCATTTAAACCTCAAAATAATGCTGAGGGTTTGTTACTGTCCCAATGAGCAACTGGCCCCAGGTCACTCAGCCCCTGGGGCAGGATCCCATTGCTGCAGTTGCTTGTCTGCCTGCTTTGGCAAGCTGTTTGTGGGACAGCACTGTCTTGTGTTTTGTGTGGCCTCTGCTCAGGCAGTGGAATGCCAGGGGGAGAAGGCATGAGGTGAGACCCATTTATGTATAAAACGGCTGACTTTTCATTGCTGTGGGGTGGGGGGATTGTCTTTAGATCTCCCAGTGTCATCTCCTTCCTCTACTTCTACAGCTCTCACTGCCCCCTGCACCCACCTCTCTCATAGCCTAGATTGTCTGTGTTTCTCTCTCCCCACCAGACTGCGAATCTCGTCATCTCTGTCTTCCCTGAGTGCTGGCAAAGGGCCTGGTACACATGCTCAGTGAATGATGAGGCTAAACTGAGGCAGGAGAAATGAAGGAGGGGTGGATTTGGAATCCCATGTGGATTTGACAGGACTTGCAGATTGCTTGGGTGTGGGAGTGATGGAGGAGGGAAGAGCCCAAAGTGATGCCTGTATTTGCGATCTGCGTGGTGAGGGGAAAGGGGCCCATTTGTGAAATCTGGAATACAGGAAGGGGAGCAGGTTGGGGGTATGCTAGGTTGAGAGTGATGTGCAGTGAATACTTGGAATATGCTGACCTCGGCATATTTTGCAGCTGAAGTTGTGAGGGCTGAAAGAACTCTATAGTAAATTATTTCTGCAATCCCAGCTTTAAAATATGTTCTTAGAAGTCATGGTGCTGGCGCTCTGAGCTCTAGGTTTAATTCCAGCTCTGCTACTAGCTGTGTGAAGTCAGGTAAGTCCCTCAGCCTCTCAGAGCCTTAGTTTCCTCATCAGCAAAACAGGAATGACTGCCTATAGCACAAAGTGTTCACACTTCAGTGAGCATTTTGTAAGTTTAGCACTTACAAAATGCTCAGTTATGATGGCGGTTCCATTATCAGCTGAGACTGGAACTGAGAGGTTGGCCCTTAAATCTTATTGTGGATTTTGAAGCCCTGGGCTATAGGCCTGCTGTACCCAGGGGCATTCCACATCAGGGCCAAAACTGGGGTGAGGCACCTAGGGGCCCAAATTTAAGGAGGCCCTGGTTCACAAGTACTGACCCTGCACTTGCATCAGCCCGAGAGTGAGTGCCCCCTTAAATTGAGGCCTTGGGAATGCCACTTGCCTGTCCTACCCCCAGCCCTGCTCCCTTGATCTTGCCTGAACCAAAGACAGCCTTTTAAGACAAAGCTCCTGTATCCTTTGGTTTTCTCCAAGCTCGGCTGGCTCTCCTGTCACTTGAGAAAAGGTTTCCTGAACTAGGCTCAGGGTAGCATCACCTCTGGATGGTGATGGTGGGTGGTACTTCCCAGAGTGAGTATTTATTAAAAACTGCTAAGATCCCTGCCTGCCCCTCCCCCCAGCCCACTGAGATGTGAGTGTAGCATTTCTGTGTACCAGTAAGCAGTTCTTTCAGACCTCCAATCTGGGGAAGCCCTTGGGGGTCTCTCTCTGGCCAGTACCTGTTCCTTGGAACTCAGGGTTGGGCAGGCCTGTGCTCTGTGCATCTTCCCAGTGGGCCTACTGTGTGTGTGTGTGTGTGTGTGTGTAAGCGCGTGTGTGTGCCCGGGAGCCTTTTTCTAGAGCAGAAGGGACATGGAGAAGGGGAAGCCAGAAAGGCAACTCCAAGTTAAGGGTTTTCGGGGCTCTTGATTTAAAGAAGTCTCTTGCTACTTTTCAAAGAATGCTCACAAGTGTCCTGGATGGGACAGGGTTGTGGGGGAGACAGGACAGAGAGGTGATGGTGTTTGTGGAGCCCCCAAGACAAAGCCAGCCTCCTCCCTTTATGCTTCCCCATTGCCTAATGTCTGAGGTGGGCCTGACGCTTCCCTGGCCAACACAGGTTAGGGTGCTGAAGGCCGGCCCGGAGGCCCTGGGGGCTCTCATCTCTGCCCCAGGTGGGAGGAAGCAGGATTCAGCGGGGAGAACCACAATGGGGAGAGGCCCTGGCGATTGGCTGGATTTCTGATTAGCATTGACCCCTAAGGGAGGAGGGTGAGGGAGATCTTAGGGGAAAGGAAGCTGATGAATGGATGAATTCGGTTGGACTGACTCCATGGAGATGGGAAAGGGGTGAGGCAGGGTCTGGAAAAAGCTGACCCGAAGGGAGGAGACCAAGGGAGGGGGGGGGGGGGGGGGGGAATGTAGGGCTGGGGACTGGGAGCGCGGCGAGGGGCCTGGGAAAGCAAAGTAGGGGGAGGCGCCGGCCAGTGGGGAAGGTCCGAGCCTTCTGCCTGGATGGGGGCGGGGAGGGGCGCCGGGTCATATAAGGCGGGTCGGCGGCCCCTCAGCGGGAGCAGCGCAGCGCGGGCAGGCAGGGCCGCGGCCTCCCCAGGACCGGGCGCAGCGACATGGAGCCCCCAGCCTTCTTCCCGGGCTTCCCGGCCCTGCCCTCGGTCGCGCCGTCGGGGCCGCCGCCGCCTTCGCCTTCTCCGCTCGCCGGAGCCGAGCCCGGGCCGGAGCCCGAAGAGGCGCCCGCGGGCCGCGGAGAGCCGGAGCCGGAGCCCGCGCCGGGCCCGGGCCCAGGGGGGCGGAGGCGGCGGCGGCCCCTGCAGCGCGGGAAGCCGCCCTACTCGTACATCGCGCTCATCGCCATGGCGCTGGCGCACGCCCCGGGCCGCCGCCTCCCGCTGGCCGCCATCTACCGCTTCATCAGCGAGCGCTTCGCCTTCTACCGCGACAGCCCGCGCAAGTGGCAGAACAGCATCCGCCACAACCTCACGCTCAACGACTGCTTCGTCAAGGTGCCCCGCGAGCCGGGCAACCCGGGCAAGGGCAACTACTGGACGCTGGACCCGGCGGCCGCGCACATGTTCGACCACGGCAGCTTCCTGCGGCGCCGCCAGCGCTTCAAGCGCGCCGAGCCGCCCGCGACCCCGCCGCCCGCGCCCGCCGCGCCGCCCGGCCCCTGCGTGCCCTTCCCGTCCGACCCCTTCGGCGCGGACAGCCTGGGGGGCCTGGGGGACCTGCCGCCCGAGCTGGGGGTGCTGGGCGCCCCGGAGCCGCCCTGCTGCGCCGTGCCCGACGCCGCCTTCCCGCCCTGCGCCGCCGCCTTCCCGCCGCTCTACGCGCCCGACCGCCCGGCGCTGCCCCCGCGCCCCGCCGAGCCGCTGCTGGCCTTGGCCGCGCCGCCGGGAGCGCTGGGCCCGCTTGGCCCGCTGTGCCCCGGGGAGGCCTACCTGCGGCCGCCGGGCTACCTGCCGGGGCTGGAGCGCTACCTGTGAGCCCTGCCTCGCAGGCAGCGGCCGCCTGGAGAACCCCCTGCCTCTTGGACTGAGCACACCTGTTACCTCTTTCATTGGGGAGAATCCCATCTTCTCTCCACCGGACTGAACCCTCCCTCCCCCCACTGTGTGAGCCCCTCGTTTCTTCTCCTTCCCCGGTGGGCCCCCACCTGCGCGCTTCCCCAGTGCCATTGGTGATCCCATGTCCCCGCGCCCAATCACCACCCAAAAGCCTCCACGCCAGGTCCCCCCCCACCCCCCCCACCCCCCCCACCCCCCCCTGCCCCGAAGATCAAGCCTTCGGAAGCCAGGCTTTCGGTGTCAAGTCGCCGGGATCACGGACAGACTCCTTACTTCAACCTTCCCTCTAATGTGTTCTTACAACACATTAGGGGTCAGACGCCTGTGTTCACGACTCCCTCGCTCTCTTCCCTTCATTTCCCACAAGTTTGAGCCCCAACCCCACTTACCTGTCTGTCCTCGGTTTCTTACACACACACACACACACACACACACACACACACACACACACACACACATCTGGCTGCACTGTCCCAGACCCCGGGACAGTTATTGGAGATTTCTCAGACCAGCGGCTCCACGGGGCTCCCGACTGAAGGGGCACTTAGTGGGCTGCCCACCATCTGGAAGATTTAGGGTTGGCTCATTAGGTTATTATTATTTTTTTAATTAAAGCTGATTTGATTAAAAAGAAAGAAGAAAGCTTTGTCTGGGCTTGGTGTGCTGGCTGGTGACTTAGGGGAGTGGCCTGGGGAGAGAGTGGGTGGGCTTTGTTCGGGATCTTTGGTTGTTCCAATAGTATGAGCCCCTGGGGAAGCATCAGGCAGCAGTCCATGCAGTGGGATTAGGATGCGATGAACCACAGCACATAGTAGGCCTAGTGAATGCCGTCACCTGTTGCATCCCAGAGGATGGTAGAGATGAGATGGGTGTGCACATGAGTGTATTTGGGCCAGTGGGTTCGTCTGCTGGGTGATTACTCCCAGCTCCCATGGATAAGGAGGCATTGGGCACTTCTCCAAGTATATACTTACAGAAGGCGCTAGGTTTTGGGAGTAAATACATCACTAAACAAATGGGCAAGACCCCTGCCTCCTGGTGCTTAGGGACCGCTGGGGAAGAGACATTACCAATTGCTCCTCAGAGAAATGAGATAAGTATTCCATAGCCTTGGACTCCAAGTGTAGTCCCCGGCCCTTCGCCAGCTCCTGGGATGAAATGCATCACCTTGTTAGGAATGCAGAATCTCAGGCTCCACTTCAGACCCACTGAGTCATCAGATTCTGCACCTTATCGAAGTTTACTGGTGATTAGTATGCACAGTATTCTGGAGAAAATACACTTGGCCAAGGCTGGAGGCTCAGATTTTTAAAAAATATATATATATTTTATTGATTTTTTACAGAGAGGGAGAGAGAGTTAGAAACATTGATGAGAGAGTCATCGATCAGCTGCCTCTTGGACGCCCTCTACTGGGGATGTGCCGCAAGCAACCAAGGTACATGCCCTTGACCGAAATCGAACCCGGGACCCTTCAGTCCGCAGGCTGACACTCTATCCACTGTGGAGGCTCAGTTTTAAAAGCTCCCTATTTAAAGAGTAGGACCAGGCTGCAGAACCACACCCTCCTCCACACTTCTGGAGCTGAGCCTTGCACAATCAGCTATGGCCCTTGTCTTACAATAGCCTTTGCTACATTGGGAGCTGGAGCAACAGGGGCCTGAACTGTCTCAGGACTGTCCCAGCATCACAGACAGGGCAGCACTGAACAGAGACCCTGGGGTTGCTGCATGAGTTGGCCTTTGACCCTGCCCTACTCTAACATGCTGACCCAACTGCTGAGCACCAGGCTTTGCCAAGCTCCTCTGCCTCAGGGCTCCCAGTTTAGAAGTGTCTGGATTAGGTGTAGGAAAAGGTGGGAAGGGATCAGTGTGCGTTGAGTCCAGGGTGAATGTGATTTGCATGTTGCACAAGCCTGATTGATACCCCTCTTTTAGATACAAGAGTTTAAACCTCTGGAGTGGTGATGAAGGGTGAGGGTGGAAAGTGGCAGCTCATGGAGGAGAAAGGTACAGGAAATGTGAGGCAGGGAAGACGGTCTTTAGAGATAGGACAGTAGATCTGCCCAGTCTGGCATAAAACACCCTGGCTAGACTCCCTCCCCAGCTATTAACCCTTTTGAGCAAGAGTCAGATCATATTTGCCTGATGCACAGCAGCTCTTCACTTAGTATTTGTTGAATGGTCCACTGAATGAATCCCTAGTGTCTATTGTGCCTGACTTACTGAATAATGACTGGGTTGACAGTACTCTGGCACTTTCCATTCTCACTTGCAGTCCTCACAGTGACCTTCAAAAGAGGTGAAGTTGAAGGCCACTTCCCCATTTGTCCAATGAGAAAACTGCCCCTCCCTGGGTCCCAGCAGGTAGCAAAGATTCAACCTGGTTCTCTAAGGAGTCTAGCTCCACAAAGATCAAAATGCAAACGTTTTCTGCTCCAAATGGTGTTATGGCTCTCCTCCTGCCTCAAAGCACCTCTTGATAAATTCCTTCCAAATCTATGAAGTTCTCAGGGAAGGAGAAGTTCCTTCTCACTCTGCTGAAGCCAGGAAGTACTTCTTGAGCTCTGAATTTCATTCTTGCCATCATGGCCCTGAAGGTCTCTGTCCCTGGGATCTTGGCACAGCGAGGAGGAGGTGGCAAGTGTCTGCACGGAAATGCTAGAAGGGTCACTGTTGAACTGGAAAGTAAGAAAGATTTTATTTTGAAATGCCTCTTTAATGTTCTTCCATTCAATAGCATAGAGGGCTCACAGTGTGCCAGGCCCTGCACTGGGCCCATACAGATACAAATACGAGACTGATGATGCCATCAAAGTTCATTATCTGGAAACCTCTGCATCATAGAGTGCCCTAAGATTTGTGACACTTGGGTAGATGTTGAAAATACAAAACAAAGCTCTATTCCAATTCTGTCTTTACAAAGCACTTTTTCTTCTATTTTGAGTGAAAGCAAAATTTTATTTCAGAAAAGCTCCCTGCTGCAGGGAGGGGACCCAATTGGATTGTAGCACTAAACACTTTTTATCTAGAAGCCAGATTGCAATATGGAAGTCTTATTTTTCTCTCCTTTCTCCTCACCCCCTCTTTTTTTTTTGGGGGGGGGGGATAATGTGAATGGAACTTTCAGAAATGTTAAGTGACTACCCCTTCATTTTTGTAGAAACTTAGAAGTCATCTTTAATCTGAAGACACAGTTTTTATTTTTATTTATTTTTATTTATTTCTTATTTATTTATTTTTTAATCAATCTTTATTGTTCATATTGTTACAAAGGTTCCTCATTTCTTCCCCCCTCCACCAGGTTCCCACCCTACCCTCCGCCCCCTCCCCATTCCCCATTGTCCTCATTTATAGGTGCACAGTTTATGTTCAGTCTCTTCCTCCCTCCCTTTCCCCGATAGTAAATTCCTTTTCAGATAGTAAATCTGTTACTTAGCATTTTCTCATATCAATAATACCACCACATGCCCAATGATACATTTCACACAAAAGACATTTCCAAATAGGTCAACCAGCCTCATCCAGGCCCCACCCAAGGCACTCACAGATCAACACCCCAGCCCTATGCTAACTCAACACATCCAGATCTAAGCCTTCATCACTTGATTCAGCAGACCCTCAAGTTCCCACAAAAGTTTCCAGCCATGTCTGAGAGGCCTGAAGACACAGTTTTTAACACTTAATTCTTGCTTTTATTGAATTGAAACAAGCATATAAAGTAACAGTCCAAAAAGCAATGACAAGGTTTTTAATGGTGCCTAGCCCAATTTTCAGGAACCTGTATTGTACCCTAGAACTATCTACTTTCAATTCATGTCTGTCTCTTTCTGAATACACTTCTGTATTTCCATGCTTATATTACTCTCTCACAACAGCAATGATTAACTTCCTATTATGATTGATTGTCATTTACCTCTGAAATCCCTATCCCTTCTCATTCCCACCCAAATCACCAACTTTTGGTTAAAGTAATAATTCACATATTATTGCTATATGAATATTGTTCTCTGATAGCTGCTGGTGTACCATGACTACAACTCCTTTTGGAGGGAGAGTGTAGCTTTTCATTTTTCCTGGAGTTCAGTGCCTTATTTTTTTTCATTTACTTATCTTTCTTTCACCTGTAGCCAAATCTTCCCTAATTTTCATGAGGTCAAACTTATTGGGAGATCTATCATTGCTTTGGGTTGCTGTGTTTTCTGTTCCTGGGGGCACCTCTCCCCTCGCCCTCTGTCCTCCAGCTCCAGCTGGGGCTGATTGCTCTCCATGTCTGCTGCACAGATGTGGCCCTGTTTCCCTTCACTGTTTTCCTTGGAATTCCCTCCATCGCTATCCTGTGTTGGATTCTCTGCTTCTTGAATTCCATATCTTCCTCTTCGCTGGTTTCTTTGTTTCAGTCAAGGTCAATTTGGGGGGAAATTTTGCACATCTGAAATTACGATGATTAATTTAGCGTGAGAAAGCTAAGTGTGCACTTTGACAATGAAATGGTCGAGTTAAAACTGTGTTTTTGTAGCCTTCTATTCTGTGGGAGTGGGGGCTAAGGAAGAGGAGAATGGGAAGTTGTTTCTGGGTTCGGTGCGCACTAACCTCCTAGGAAGGTGAAGAAGGGGGCTCCATGTTATGGAAATGAAGGGCGCATGTTTTGCTTAGAGCAGTGTTTCCCAAAGTGTGGTACACATACCCCCAGGGGTACGGGGAAAAGTTTGGTGGGGGTACGCGTTGCACCAGAGTTTGGTGGGGATATGCACTGCCCCGTGCTTAGCTGTGCCTAATTCTACGTTCTCGTGAGTACGAGAGGTACTCTATAATTTTACGAAAATTATAGAAGGGGTACACATATGTCAAAAGTTTGGGAAACACTGCGTTAGAGGATGAAGGCAGGGGAATGATGGTTCTGAGTTCTTCATAGGAGTAAATGAGCTGAGGGAGTTGCTTTCTGATTTGGGGGGATTGGAGCACAGGAAGGATGATTTTGGCACAGGATGGTTAGAGGGCCTGCTGGAGCAAGGTCAAGATCACCCTACACATGGAAAACTGAGTACACAGGACAGTGACCTCCTTGGCAGGGACACGGGAAGCATAACAACTGAGAGGCTCCTTCAGGCAATGGGCTTCACCTGGAAGGCAGAAGGCAAAACAAGCAATGTGAACTCCTCACGATAGTGCGATAATCTGTGGGTCGGTTCTAAGCCCGTGTGAAGTACCCCTTTGGGAGATCCTAGAAGTATGAGGTGGGGGTGGAGGACAATTTTGCAAGATACTGGGGCTAAAGCAGTGTCCTTTTAAATGAAAAAAAATTCTGGTGACCTCAAGTATTGACCTTAGCTTTTAAAAATTATGTCATTTATTATGGGCAGATAAAAAATCCTTAGACTTATATCTCTTATGCAACTATAAAAGAGAATATTTATAAATTAAATGCAAACAGCTACAAAATAAACATTCAAATTCATAGTGTTAATAAGATATAAAATATTGCCGAAGCCTGTTTGGCTCAGTGGTAGAGCGTCGGTCTGTGGACTGAAAGGTCCCAGGTTCGATTCCGGTCAAGGGCATGTACCTTGGTTGCGGGCACATCCCCAGTGGGGGGTGTGCAAGAGGCAGCTGGTTGATGTTTCTCTCTCATCGACGTTTCTAGCTCTCTATCTCTCTCCCTTCCTCTCTGTAAGAAATCAATAAAATATATTTAAAAAAAGAAAAGAAATACACCTTTGCCAAATTCTATAAAAAAAAAAAAGATATAAAATATTGTTTTACTGAAACCAAATCACTTGCCCCTTGAATGTGACCCTTACTGCTCCATCTCAGGTCTTCTGAGTTTGGTGTGCCTGAAGCCATGTGATGAATAAATTCATCCAACATTTTTTTTTCTTTTGAATGAACTGCCCAAACTCCTTCAGGTCGCAAGTCATGCCATCAACTGGCCTAAACACAGCAGTTACTTAATTCCACATTGTGTGTGTGTGTGTGTGTGTGTTTTCTTTATCTCAAGATTAAAGTAGCACTTCTTGATAACAAATGCAAATGAGGACTCCAATATCTGATCTCTGATATTTATGATATCAGGAGGTCACGTAAGTGATCCAGAATGGGCTTATGTGAATGTGTTTTAAGATTTTTATTGCAATGAATACACAACATTTGAGCATGTTCGTAAATTCCTTCGTGTATAAGAATACATTCTTGGACCACATTTTAAACTAAGCCCTTGAAATTTTTAAAAACACTTCTTATCAAAATAACTCTTAAGTTAGAGAAAAGTTGAAATTATAGGTTATTTATAAATTAATAAAGGTGAGAACAGTACATATTTAAATCTGTAGGATGTGCTCAGAGGAAATTTCATAGCTTCAAATACGCTATTAAACGGGATCTGGGGTAGGGTGGGGAGACCAATTAAAAGGCCACTGCAGTATTAAAGCAGGAAAGGACAGTGGTTTGGTGGAGGTAGCAGTGGTGATAGAGAAAAGCAGATGTCCAAAAGCAGGAAAACAATCAGTTGCCGAACCCAGAAAAATAAAAGTCATCCCAATTCTACCTACTTAATTATATTATCGAAACCTGATAGAGGGTTGAGCAAACAAAATCTAGCCAGCCTCACATGTACAAGAAGATTCAACATCAGCAAATTGATTCTGGTGGTACATTACAAAAAAGGCATGATCAAACACAGTTTGTCCTGGACTGCAGGGGAGCATAGAAATGTTAACTCAATTTTATAGATAATGAAATTGGGGCTCATAAAGCCTAAGTGACTTACCAGGTCAAGCTGCAAAAGAACTGACTCAGAACTTGATCCAGGTCCGCCTGCCTCCAATCATTCTCCTTCTTGGAGGAAGAGGCCAGCGAGGTAAGAACTTAGAGGGAGAGCTCCAGGTACCAAAAAAGTTCCTCAGATCACTCCAATATTCCCCAACCACTCACACCCACAGTTTGGATCTGGAAAGGTACATTTCCAAACCAAGTGACAAGTTATGGTTTCCTTTTGCTTTCAGTTTTCCTCTCCCTCCCGTTCACATGCTTCCCCTCTCTCTCCCCTTTCCCTGTACTCTTGTCCTCCCTTCCTGCCCTTCAACAATTTTGTGGAGACAAGCGCCACCAATTGGCCACCTTGTATGCACCTGATTTGATAAGGAAATCAGTGGAATGAAGCCAGGATCCATTTGGATGGTATTTGGTTGGGGCTAGAGGTGGCTTCTGGTGATTGAAAGGCACTTGCTCCAGTGAGAACCCAAATGTTTGGTGTGTGAGAGGAAAACGGCTGCATTTTTCCACCTTCTCCGGGAAGCCCTCCCAGATTCCTCCCTCCCATTCTTCTTGGAAGCCTTTGGTAACCTTCCCCTGTAGTGGGTTGGGAAAAGGGGTGGGGAGGGTGGTCCTAGGTGTGGAGATCCACTCTATAAGAAGGAAGTAGAGCCGAAGCCGGTTTGGCTCAGTGATAGAGTGTCGGTCTGTGGACTGAAAGGTCCCAGGTTCGATTCCGGTCAAGGGCATGTACATTGGTTGCAGGCACATCCCCGGAAGGGGGTATGCAAGAGGCAGCTGGTCGATGTTTCTCTCTCATCGACGTTTCTAGCTCTCTATCTCTCTCCCTTCCTCTCTGTAAAAAATCAATAAAATATATTTAAAAAAAAAAAAGGAAAAGAAAAAAGAAGGAAGTAGAGGAAAGTGTGCTGGGCTGGAGTCAGGAGATCTGAGGTCTAGTCCCTAGTCAAACACTTAGTTAGGCAAGGCCTTTCTTTTCTGTGTCCACAGCAATTCACAGCAACTCTTGCCAAGCTCCTGGATTGTGTCCCCCTTCTCAGCTGATGACTCAGAGGTGCATCTGATACTACCCCTGTCACAACATGGTTTTTAAGTCAAGCTTCTATTTTTCTTGCATATATAAACTCAAACAAATATACATTATCTTCTCCTTTAAACACACACACACACACACACACACACACACAACTGAAAACATCAGTTAACAATGTTATACATCTTGAATTCCCCCCCCCCTCCCGCACTCAACAATATGTCTTGGAGCTCTTTCCACATCAATACATAAAGAACTTCTTTATTCTGTTTTACACAGCATACTGTTCCCTTATATACTAGTAGTAGATGTGCCATTATTTAACCAGCCCCCTACTGATAGACACTTACATTGTTTACAACACTTTGGCATTCCCAAACCAGCTGCAGCGAGACCTTGTGCATACATTATGTGTGCAGGTAGATCTGCAGGAAAATTCCTAACGTGTATTTCCACACAGCCCTTGCTAGGCACCAAGCTCCCTGTGTGTCATCCTGGCTTTGTGGGCAGCTGTCCTCTTTTATTTATTTCCCAAAGGGACCCTGGAGACTGGGCTCAGAATTTCATCTTTTCAAACCTCACTGCCCTCCTCTCAAGTGGCCTTCCCATCAGTGCCTCCCCAGGCTCCTCCCAGGTGCTTTGGCCTCTGGGTCTGGGAAGCCTGGGCACTTGCCACCTCCATCCTAAGTGGGTCTGTGCCCTGTCCAGGGTGACGGCTCCTTTTCCCTTCTACTTCCAAGGACTGGGCGCCAGTGGCAGGTGTAAGGAGCTAGATCTTTGGATCTCCACCGTCAGGCCTCCAGGCCTCCTCTCAGATGCCACCATCTCCCCCTTTTTACTCTTCCCATATGGACCCCAATTGTGACTTCCTTCTTCTGATCCTAGGATCATTTTCTAAGATTTGCTCCTCTCTGGCCTCAGATTTCCCATTTCATTGTCTCTAACCCCCCAGATCGGAGTGGCTCCAGCTTTGTGGTAGTAAGGGAGGAGGGCCCATCAAGCAGAGCCCCCTGTGAGAGGCACGCACATGACTAAGGGGGAGCCAAACTCCATGGATGTAAACAAGATCCTCCGAAGCCTGGGAAGCTCTGCATTGGCCTGCACCTGTGATGTCAGTTTATGTAGCAGATGGCGCCCTTTGGGGCTGACCCAGGCTAGGATGACCAGGAGCCTGGACAGGGCAAGGCGGTGCAGAAGCATGATTATTGTCATTGCTGTGAATGACAATTGCTCCCACTTGGAATTGTGAGTAGGGCACAGTAGTTAAGAGCCCTGATTCGGGAGCCAGACTGTCCAGAACAAGGGATATACTTCTCACAGATTGGATATGGAAACTGAGGACTCTGGAAGGGTAGTGGTTGTCAGAGGTTGCACAGGAAGGCAGGGTTTGGCTGGTATAATTAGTCACAACCATTTTATTTAAAAAAATTTTATTTTATTTTTAAATTATAATTGAAATATAGTATTATATTAGTTTCAGGTGTGCAATATAGTGATTCAACATTTATATATTTTATAGAGTGATCACAAGAAGTCTAATAACCATCAGTCACTGTATAGTTATTACAAATGATATCGATGCTTATTCCCTTTGTTGTACATTACATCCCCATGACTTAGTTTATAACTGGAAGTTTGTCATTTTGAAGAAGGAAACTGAGGCAGAAAGCACAAGAGAGATATTCAGACGAGATCGGGCGCGTTCAGGGTGGTATGGCCGTAGACACAAGAGAGATATTCAATGATTGCTGGAATCGGGGACCACGGAAAAACTCTCTGATAGGGAGATAGGATTCCCTCCCTTCAGAACAGAAGCAATGCCTGTTCTCAGAGCACATATTTCTATTGGTGACGTAAGCTAGCTTTCTGGTGAGTCTCAGACCTGAGGAAGAGATATGTTTCCCATTCCTTCATATATCTAACATTATCTAATAACTAGTCACATAGGTAACACTGAGTCACATATGTAACATTAATTGAGTATCTACTATGTGTTAGGTTTTACCCCTGCAGACGGTAGAGTGATTAATAATGATGATGACAAGAAATATCAATTGAGCTCTTTCAAAGTACCAGGTGCTGGGCTAAGTGTTTTATATGCATTATCTCATTTAATCCTCACAACTCAATGTGGTAGGTACAATTCTTATCCCAATTTTGTGGAGGAGGAAAGATGAAGATGGAAACAATATTATGTCTGTTTTCAAGAAGCTTACAGTGGATAGAGGGAGACAGACTGGAAAACAAATTATGACAACAGAGTGAGTTAAGTGTGGGGTGCTGTTGGGGGAAAGCTGTGCATAAAGCTTGACATTTTAAATGGACAAAGAATTAGGAGTGAGCAGAGCGCAAAGGTGAAGAGGAGAGAAAGAGCAAATCAGGTATGAGTGGAGTGGACATAAACTTCAGTCTTATTTTTACTGGGAGGGAGAGGAGAACAGCAGCAAGCCCATGTAAAGGGTGAGTGGAATGGATGAATTAACAGTCTTTTTGGAGAAAGGCGAGGCTGGAAGCAGATCTGCTGTGCAGTGCTGGAATGGAGGGTTCAGGCTTAGAGCAGGAAAGGGAAAAGATAGCTGGGCTCTGGAGAAGGCTTCCTTCTGGAAGAGGCGGGATTTGAGCAGGGTTCTGAGGTACAGGTACAGATTGGGAAAGGAAGTAAGCCTGCACAGCCTGCGCGCGCGCGCGCGCGCACACACACACACACACACACACACACACACACACACACACACACACACACACACGGTCTGGACGGAGGTTATGAGTTCCTGAATGACTGTGCTGAAGGGGTGAGATGGGGAAGGGGAGAGATCTCGGGCGTTCAGTTTCTGACTGCGTGGATGCGCGGCTCCTCCAGAGGGCGCTGTTGCCCAGGAATCCACAATCAGCATCTGCCAGGCCAGGGCTCCGGCCGGTTCCTGGCTCTGCCAGTGGGTCCGCTCCCGAGGTACCGGGCACCTGGCCAGAGGAGCTTTTCGGGCTCCATTCCTGCTTCGGAATCGGAAAGGCTAAGTGGGCGTGTGCGCGTGTGAAATAAAGGCCCAAGTTCGGAGAGCTCTGAATCCTTCTCTCTCCTGCCCGGCCCCAATTCAGGGCTCCGGAGTGGCGAAGGGTTCCCGAGGTTTGCTGCTCCAGCAGGCAGCATGTAATTGGTGGGAAGAAGGCCGCCGCTGCAGTCGGCCTGGCTGTCCACAGCGTGCTAGTCTCTGTACGCATCGTATCCTAAGATATCTGGGAAGCAAATATCTTGCACCAGACACCTAACCAAGCTCACACCCTCTCACGTGTCCTTCCCTGCCAGAGTCTCCCTGCGGGCTCGGCTCGGAGTGGGTTTGAGTCCCCGCACCAGGTCACGCCGCCGCTTCAAGCCCTGGGGTTAAAGGCGATCCCTCCAGGGCAGTCCCCCCGCACAGATCGCGCGTTCCGGAGGGAGGACTCAGGACAGGCGCTGGTTGCTCTGGGAAGCAGTGGGGCACCCAGAGCCACTGTTGCACGGAGGGGCACTCCAACCGCAACAAACAACTCACACGCGGACAGAAACACATTCCCTCTGATCCCTCTGACCCAGCACACACTCTGACATAGGGGCACTAGCTCCCACACACCTGGGAGCGTCCCCCACTCCCGTGCAGGTCTCACAGCAGGTGGAACCTGCCCTACCCTGGTCGCTGCGGATCCCGCCTTCAGGTTGAGCGGTTTGGGAGCCCTGCTGTTCTCACCGTCTCCTGAATGCGCAACCCTCTTCCCAAGAACGAAGTCAATAGGTCCCGCTGCTCACCCTGGTCTTCCCAGGGTAGGTGGGGCTGGGAGGGGACTGAGGTCAGGCATAACGGAAGGAGACTTTTCCTTCTATTGTAGATGTGGAGGATACACAGGTGTGGGGGAGCCGGCGCCTTGGGGTGGGCAGGTGGGCTTCAGCGGTGAAGGAGCATACGATGGAGGCCCCGTTAGTGCTGTGCTTGCGGAGGGCCAGGCCTCTCCTAGAACCCCGATCTGAGCCCCGCCGCCTAAGGCTCGCCCTGCAGATCTGGAGTCTCCTGCCTCCTAGCCAGAGCGAAGGGAGGGGGGGGGGGGGAAGAAAAGGGGGCACCATCACTTCGGAGCAGGCGGAGATCTGGGGTCAAAAGATGTACCAATTTCGCCCAGTTGCCATCTCGTTCCAGAGCTGCAGCGGGGTGGAAGGACCGGAAGAGGGTGCCTTCGGCCAGTCTCGCCACTTGCCCCAGGCTGGCCAGGTTTGTGAAAAAAATGAGAGAAGTGTGCAGATGTCGTGTCTGTCCCCTTGTCCAGCTAAGGCCTCGGTTTGCAGCCAGGTCACACTAAGGGGTGGATTTTCGCACTCACGGAACTCAACCCAGGAAAGACTGAGGGCAATGCAGCCACCAGGTCTCCTCTAGGTCGCTCAGCGCCACTTTTCGCCAGACTCACGATTGACTTAATTATGTTCTCATAATCAGGGAAGACTCCCGTCCCCCTGCCCCCCAGCTCTAAGAGCATGTCTACATGGACCACAAGGAGGGGAGGAAGAAGCCATATGGGGAGAGATGCCACTGATAGCAACACATCTCAACAAACACACAACAACGGCTCCAAGTTTTAGAACATTTTACAGTAGAACACTGCCAAAAGGACCCCCCCTTCCCCGCCTCCAGCAAATGCTTCCTCCCAGTCCTTTCTGGGCTGCTCACGAGAAGTGGCCAAATAGTGAAGCAGAGGAAGAAAGAGGCTGTGCACAAGCCCTGTCACCCCTGCTTCTCTGAAGCTGCAGGCATGAGTGCTGGAACCCAACCTTCTGGAAAAGCACCCAAGTTTTCCAGGTGGGAGTGACAGGCTTACACAGGGCTCACACAGCAGGAAGGGCTGGAGCCCGGGGAGAAGGGCAGAAAGAAAAGGAATCTCCAAACCCAGGTGGCCCTTCTCCCAGCCCCCAGTGCATTGTTCAAAACAAACAGGCCCATTGGAAGGGCTGAGAAGCTCCCAGAAAGCCTTACCTCTGCTGTCCAGGGGCTAAGCAGCCATTTGGGTAAACAGATCAGGTCTGGGCTGGGAGGCCAGACACCTGGGTCCAACCTAACTGGGGGACTGGGAGCCTTCAAAAGCCTGGAAAGTCATGTGATCTACTGGGCCTTTGTGTGTGTGTGTGTGTGTGTGTGTGTGTGTGTGTGTGTTTGAAGGACCTGGGTGATGATTCCTTAAGATCATGCACCACTCCCACTTTGCAGAGGTGGGGAGGAGGATGGGTTCCCTTTCCCCATTCTGAGTCCCAGCATCCATCCTGAGGAGCAGGGCCAGGCAGAGGCAGGGGCCAGCAGCTGCAGCTGCTCTGCTTGTAGCATTAGAACCAGGATTTCTGGGAAAGCAAATGCCTCAGCCAGTCTTTCCTGAAGCTGGGCAGGGGACTGGAGCCTGGGGAACCAGGAGAGCTCTGGCAAGGAAAGAAGTTACTTATTTATTTACATTTGGCATGTTAGAAATGAAGACATTTAGAAGGGGAGATGAATGAGGAGAGTGCCAGTCTTGCTTTTCTCTCCATTTGCTTAGACTAGGGGTGTCGAACTCAATCAGAGAAGGGGCAAAAATCTAAAATCCAGCCTAAATCGCGGGCCGAATGGTTTACTGAACAGTCATAAACTGTCATTGTGATGGAAACGCAGCGGAGTGCAGTGATGACAGCGCGGTGCGGGCCACATTGCAAGGCCTGGCGGGACGGATTTGGCCCGCGGGCCTTGTGTTTGACACATGTGGCTTAGACACTAGCAGAACGGAGCTGGGTTGGAGTTGTGTGGTAGACAGTATAGAGTTTCTGTGATGTGAGAGAGACTGAGCATGCTGGGGTATGTGTAGGTTGCCAGATAAAATTAATTTGCTAAGTCTAGCAACCCTAGTTATGTGAGTTCTGGACTCATGAAAGACATTTTTCTCCAAAGGCTCCCCCTCCCCCACAAAGCCCTATCACCTAGGAAATTCTGATTCCAGGGCCACTAGTTCCTGCCCAATTTCCTGTCCATGGCTTAAGGCCTGGACCTCTTCTCTATGCACCCCAGCATACTAGGTGGACCCCCTTTGTCTGAGGGCCTAGAGAGGAGCTGCTCTCACAGGATGTGAGCAGCCAGCCTTCTACCCTCCTTTGGCTCGGGAGAATGGAGAACTCTATCATGAGGATTCTGTAACAAGAGTGGCACCCAACCCTAGTTTGTCTTGTTGGAGAGCCTAGGGGAGTCCCTTCCCTCCTGGGGCCTCTGTTGGCCTACCTGTGGGACTGAAAAGTTAGCTTCACACTAGATCAGTGGTCGGCAAACTGCAACTCACGAGCCACATGCGGCTCTTTGGCCCCTTGAGTGTGGCTCTTCCACAAAATACCAGGGCCTGGACGAGTCTATTTGGAAGAAGTGGCATTAGAAGAAGTTTAAATTTTAAAAAATTTGGCTCTCAAAAGAAATTTCAGTAGTTGTACTGTTGATGTTTGGCTCTGTTGACTAATGAGTTTGCCGACCACTGCACTAGATTATTCCATATATTGGAGGCTGCTGTTAGATGAAAGTGAGAATTCCTCCACCCTCACATGGGCTCCGTTGAGATACAGCCTGCAGGGGCTGCAAATTGACTCCCACCCTCTTCTCAGTGCTTATCTGCAAGGGGCCTAATTCTCTACACAGTGACTGGGTGGCAGTGGTAACCCACCGAGTCAGAGGGCTGCACCAGGGCTTGAGATCAGGCGGGAGAATACACCACCTTTGACTCCTTTTTTTCTTCCCAGGAATTTTCAAAGTGCTCACACTACCCTCTTCAAAAGTAACCCAGAATGATTCGGCTACTTTTACATATTAGTCATGACCGAGATGTTTTTAATCTTATTTTTACAGAGGAAGAAACAGAGGCACGAAGACTTATGAAACTTATCCAAGGTGGCAGAGCTGGTAAGTACAGGGCTGGGACTCCAGAAACCTGACTCCAGGCTTCCTGCTTTTCATTACTAAGCAAAGAAGGAAACTGAGGCTGGCAAGAGAAAGTAACCTGCTGACTGTCAGGGCGACACGAGACTGTGGAACTCAGTTGGGTCTCAGGCCGCGAGTGTCAGAGCTTTGACCACTGCGCGGCGCTGTCGGGACAAGCAGCCGGCCAGTAAGCTTATTCTTGCCTACCTCCAGGGCCCAACTCCCCTTTTACCCCTCAGAGGTTGAGATGGGCCCGGTCTGAGCGGGTGCTACGTTGCTGGGGTCCTGGTGGGAGACCACGCGGGAAGAGACAGGCCTAGTGAAATGGAAAGGAATACGGCTTTCGAGAAAAAGGGTACAGGACTCTGAGAGAAGAAGGCAACACTGGCACAGGCTGGGCTGCGGTCAGGGTTCATTGAAGAAGGTCTCCGGTGGGAGTCCTGCTACATGTCTGTAGAACCTACAAGTCCAGCTAGAAAGTTGGGGGGGGGGGCAGCCCTTCAGAGTGACTGGAGTTGGGGTTGGGGGAGAGAGAGAGGAAAACTGAGCAAGGGATTCCCAGACACACAAACAGATATCCAGGCAAATGCAGGGTTTCTGCAGAAGACGGAGACAAGGGTTCACGGAAGGCGAGAAAGACAGAATCACAACCGATACTGAGACAGAAGAAGTACAGGCAAACTCAGAGTTAAGGCGCAGACCACGCTCCCCGGACCAAGGCGCCGCACAGAAGCGCGGGGGTAGGTTGGCAGGGGAGTGACGGGCAGGCGGCGCACTACCTGGGTCGCCGGGCACCGTCCCTCCTTCGGAGTCCAGCGGCGCGGGCGGCGCGGGCGAGCGGAAGGTGGCGGGGTTTTGCGGAAGAAAGAGCCTGAGCAGTCGGAATCTCTCACCTCTCCGAGGCCCGAGGCTGAGAGCTCCAAGTTTGCTCCTCGCGATCGCTCCGGTGCGTCTTCCCTGGGGCCGGAAGCCACTGGGCTCCGGTGGCCCCCGCTCCCACGGCGATCATCCCGGCGTCTCCGGGCCCCGATCGCGCTCCAGCCGAACTTCGGCCTCGGTGGCCCTGGCTCTGCCTCGGGGAGAGAGGTGATGGGTGGAGTCCGTCGCTACTTTTTCTGGCTCTGGCTGGCGCCCACGTGAACCTCAGTATCCAAGGACTGCGCGCACTGAAGGCAGCAGCGGCTCCAGGAAACGGACGACTGGCGGGGTCTTCGGGGAGAACAGGAGGACCCCGCCTCCCGCCCGAGCGGGGCTCCGGCCGTGGCTGCGGCTGTGGGTTCCCGCCGGGCCCCTCCGCAGAGCCACTCTGCCCGCCCCCGCCCGCCCCGCCCCACCCGCTTGGGGAGCTCCGCCTCCGGCGCGCGCTCTTCCGCCTTGGGCAGCCTCTGGGCGGGAGGGTCGGATTCCCCAGCCCTCCAGCCCCCAAGCACTGGTGGACCGGGGGCCGAGACTGGTTAGGGTGGAAGGACCCTCTTAGCTCCTTCCGGGTGCAGGCCCCGCTCCGGGCTCCCGGGGCAGCGGAGAGGGCCGCCAGTCTGGTGCTCGCCAAGAGGGGAGAGCCGCCGAGTTAGGCCACGAGGGGGCGCTGCGGAGCTGGGGGACACCCCTCCCTGTCCTCCTCAGTCCCCCGCCCCCTCCCCGCCCGCGCGCAAAACATACTCGCCCCAGAGGCAGCGCCGCGGAGCCGGACCCGCGGCCGGAGCGAAGCCGGAGAACGGCGGTGGCGGCGGCGGCACCATGACCCTGGGCAGCTGCTGCTGCGAGATCATGTCCTCCGAGAACTCTCCGGCCGCGCTGTCCGAGGCGGACGCAGACATAGACGTGGTGGGCGGCGGCGGCGGCGGTGGCAGCAGCGGCGGTGGGGGGGAGCTCCTCGCTCGCTCCGGGCCCCGGGTCCCCCGGGACGCGCTCCCGAACGGCCCCGAGCCGCCCTCGGAGGAAGCCGAGGCGGACGCCGCGGAGGAAGAGGAGTCGGGCGGCTGCTCGGACGGCGAGCCCCGCGCTCTAGCGCCCCGGGGGGCTGCGGCCGCAGCGGGGAGCCCCGGGCCGGGCGCGGCGGCGGCGGCGGCGGCGGCCCGAGGCGCGGCGGGGCCCGGGCCGGGGCCGCCGTCGGGGGGCGCGGCGACGCGGAGCCCGCTGGTGAAGCCGCCCTACTCATACATCGCGCTCATCACCATGGCCATCCTGCAGAGCCCCAAGAAGCGCCTGACGCTGAGCGAGATCTGCGAGTTCATCAGCGGGCGCTTCCCCTACTACCGGGAGAAGTTCCCCGCCTGGCAGAACAGCATCCGCCACAACCTCTCGCTCAACGACTGCTTCGTCAAGATCCCCCGCGAGCCGGGCAACCCGGGCAAGGGCAACTACTGGACGCTGGACCCGGAGTCGGCAGACATGTTCGACAACGGCAGCTTCCTGCGGCGCCGCAAGCGCTTCAAGCGGCAGCCCCTGCCGCCGCCGCCACACCCACACTCGCACCCGCACCCAGAGCTGCTGCTGCGTGGCGGGGCCGCGGCGGCGGGGGACCCCGGCGCCTTCCTGCCTGGCTTCGCCGCCTACGGCGCCTACGGCTACGGCTACGGGTTGGCGCTCCCCGCCTACGGCGCCCCCCCTCCCGGCCCGGCCCCGCACCCGCACCCGCACCCACACCCGCACGCCTTCGCTTTCGCCGCTGCCGCCGCCGCCGCCGCCACTGCTCCCTGCCAGCTGTCGGTGCCCCCCGGCCGTGCCGCTGCGCCTCCGCCCGGACCTCCGACGGCCTCGGTGTTCGCGGGAGCGCCCTCCGCTCAGGCCCCGGCGCCAGGCACGGGGTCGGGCCCGGGCTCGGGACCCGCTGGCCTTCCCGCCTTCCTGGGCGCAGAGCTGGGCTGCGCCAAAGCCTTCTACCCCGCGTCCTTGAGCCCCCCTGCAGCCGGCACCGCGACCGCCGGCCTGTCCACCGCGCTCCTGCGCCAAGGCCTCAAGACGGACACGGGCGGCGGTGCGGGCGGCGGGGGCACCGCCGGGGCCGGGCAGAGGCCTTCCTTCTCCATAGACCACATCATGGGCCACGGTGGCGGCGGCGGCGGCGGCGGGACTGCACCCCCGGGCGGAGGCGAGGGCTCGCCGGGATCGCCGTTCGCTGCGGCGGCGGGTCCAGGAGGTCAAGCCCAAGTCTTGGCCATGCTGACTGCCCCTTCCTTGGCTCCTGTGGCCGGCCACATCCGCCTCTCGCACCCTGGGGAAGCCCTCCTGTCCTCAGGGCCCCCGTTTGCCGGCAAAGTGGCCGGCCTCAGTGGCTGCCACTTCTGACCGCGTCGGGGCTCAGGGCCCCTGGTGCCCGCCCTCAGCCTCTCCCGGCGGCTCCCCCGGTCGGTCCCAGCGGAACTCAGGGAGTCTATTGGCGAAGAGTCTCTCCAGACCTTGGGCCGGATCGCTCGCGCCACTTGGCTCCGCGTTCTGAAGATCCGTGATCCATCCTTGGGACCAAGCGGGCTCCGTCGCTCAGGGAGAGCCCGGGTCTCTGAGACAAGGTCCAACCAAGCTTTGATTCCATTCCAGTTTGGGCAGCGAGAGGGGAATGGGGGGAGCCTTCGCTTTTCCCAGCCTCTGCGCCTCTGGCAGCCTCGGAAGAATGCTTTCCCGGTGCCTTCCCAGGCCCTGCGGATCCCGCCAGAAACCACCAACTGCGCAGAGAGGTCTTCCTCTCTGTATCTCCTTCGCTCCTCCCCCGACTTTGAGATCTTGCTTGTCCAATATTATAATTTAAAGACACCTATTATCTGCTTCGTACTTAAAAGAAAAATTCAACTTCCCCACCCTTGCTATTCTCCAAGGAAGTTCGTTATCGCGGAAGCCTAAGGCTGCGCGTCTACACAGGTGAAGCTGAGCAGAGAGCTGAAGCGAGGTGTCTCCGAAATCCCTCTGGAAACCCTGGATCCCACTCCGCTGGGGAGCATCCTTCCCCTTTTGTGTTGGGATGCCTTGGAAGGAACATTTCCCCTTTCCCATAGCTGGTTGGGTCCCGCCAACCAGGGCTAGCCGCCCTGTCAGCGATCTACTCTGTCCCAGGCCCTGGGATATTTATTATAGCTAAAGGCAATGAGTTTAGGGTGGGAGAGGAGGGTCTGGGTCAGGGACTGGAGAAGTGGGAGTGGGGTGGGTGAGGGCACATCCTGTGGCAGGGGGTCCTGTAATTATGTGTAAATATCTGTACAGCCGGCTGCTATCTGCGTTCTCTGTCCACTGGGTGTGCATTGATTTAGACTTCTCCACTGTGGGGAGACTGTGAAATCCTCTGACGGTTTGTGTGGAAGAAAAGAAAAAATCTGTCTCCCCTTTCTCCCCATTGGTGTCAATTGAATAAATGTATGTGAACTCCAGCAGTCACAAGCTCAGTCTGCTTGCCTGCACTCCCCTTTTTAGGTAGTCAGGGCTCTCCCAGAACACCTTCCCCCAGCTTTCGGGGCGAGGGCAGAGGTGGACTGAGGAAGGGTCCTGGGCATCCCAGGCAGGCAGAAGAGGGCTTGGGCTATTGGGTGTGGGGGAAACTATGGCCTTGGCCTTTGCTGTTCAGGCGCCAAGACTCTGGGAACCCTGTGACCCCTCCAGTGCTTTCATTTTCACTCTGGTCCAGGAAGGTTTCTGCAGAGAGGTGTTATTTCAAATGCACCTGGGAGTCTCATCTTCTTTGAGTTCAGACTTTAGTGTGGGCAGATCTGGGTGCCCAGCGCTGTGGACACTATGCTTATTGAGTACAGTTCAAGTGGCTGTGTCTCTTGTGCATTTTCTGCGTGCTTCTATGTGTGGGGGCTTTTATGCAGCTTGTGATGTGTTTGTTTGGGTTGTCAATATCTGTGTTTTGTTGTCCTTTTTAGGGGGGATGAGTTGTACTTCAGGATATCTGTGTTTTAATTTATATGTGTGACCATGAACGTGGGTCTGTGACCTTCTGTCGCCGTCTATTTCTATGTCCCTAAAAGGAGAGAGGTTTCTGTAGAGCCTTCCTTGATCCAACCACGTAATAGAGTGAGTGGCTTGAACTGGGGACTATGAGACTCTTCTCTTTCCTAGTCCGAGGGGATTAGAGGTGTGCTATGTGGTAGAGAGTCAGTGTGGTCATATTCTGTTAGGGAATACTTGATCCATGATTATAGCTGGAACCTATTGCTTGAGTGCAAAGCCATTGTGTTGGCTAGTGTCTTCCATAAGCCACCCGAGCCTCCCTGTGGTCAGACTGGCAAAGCATGTGGGTTAGAAGAGATGCTTTTGTAGGTCTTTCTCTTATATTCAACTAAGGTTGTAGGGGAGAAGGAGTGATATGGAGGTGCAAAAGAGGAAGCTCAGCCTTCACAGAAAATAGACACTTGCAGAGGGAGAGGATTTGCAGACAAGTGATAGAGAAGGAAGAAGACAGAGAGAACTTGAGAGGGGCGGGCAGGGGGAAGCTACACAGGTCTTTTTAACCAGATTCATGGGCATTGATAATAGCAGGAAAAAAGGAGGAGAAAGAGGGCAGTGCCCTATAGGAGAGGGTCAGGGTGAGAAGACCGCACAGGGCTGAGGGAGAGTGGTTGGGACTGCTAAATCTCTCAGCCCAGTGGAGGAGAGACAAGGTCCCAGGTACATCAGGTAAAGGCAGCCCTTTTGCTAGAGCTGAGGTGCCCTCTCTTCCATCTTGTTGAGAGACATAAGTGGAGGGAAAATGAATGCATGCCATGTGCCATCTCCCCCTGATTTTATCAAGCAGTCCAAGAGAAGTAAGGTTGAACTCAATAGTATCAAAAGGGACTGACTATTGATACCTGGATACCCCGGGCTGGCTGCTTGGTTGATTTCCATAGCTGAGTTTGATTTCATTTCTTTTCACTTAAGGAAGGTTAAACACGACCGTGTGTTTGCCCACAATAAAACACTTTGTGGCTTACACAATCCCATCACTTCCAGATATTAGTTTGGAGCTTCTAGTAAAAGTTTTATCCATTGGTCTTTCCTCTCTAGAAGAGAGAAAATTAAGTCAGCCAGAATTCATAAATGATGATGGATAGATGAGATGCTTCTACAAGTTCTATTCCAAAAGAAGCAGCAAATCCTTCCAGTTTCCTCAATTTGTCTTTGTGAAAGTGTGTGACGATTTATCTGAGTGCATTGCTTGGTGTCAGAGGGTCCGTCCAGATCCGGAGAAGGTAGCGATAAGAAGATTGGGAACGAGTGAGACACACGCTTTCAGGGGCTTCTGTGGAGCTTGGGACCTCAGACCCTGAGTTTCCCACAAGGCCAAATACAGGCTGAGTACTGGGTTCCAGAAAGAAGACACCTGTGTCCATCTGGCCTTGAAAAGCATCAGAAAAAGATTGGTGAGCCACCCGTGGCCTGGAAGCAGGAGAGGAGGGTGTTTTGAATTTGGGACAGCTTTGGGTTGTGTGGGCCAGAAACTTGTTAATTAAAAGATGGCAAGGACCCACCAGGGACCTGGACTGTGAGCAGAAGCAAGGAGAAGAATGAGGCATCACAGCTTTGTCTGGTAGAGTCCTCAGGCTTGCCACCCCCTCCAGGCCAGACTGGCTGGTAAGTGGCTCCCTCCCAGCCTGTGGGTGCACAGGTTGGGTGTTCAGTGAAGGCCAGTCTTCCTGGAGGAGAAATAGGCCATCCCACCTCCAGCGGCTCCTATAGCTTTCCTCCCACCGTTTGGGTGGAGACAGCTGAGCCTCTGGCCCCACAGACCCCAACAATCTGTGACAACAATAAAATACCCAGGCAACACCTTCAACTCTCGAGGTGAGGAAAAAAAATGCTAAGAAATCTGCTTGGGGGGTTCTCAGAGTGCTGCTGAGCGGTCAGTTTAAAGGGGAAGAAAATTGGCGAATTTCGTTGGTCAATTTCACTTCATTTCGTTCAATTTCGTTCAATTTCATTCCTTTTCATCCTGCGCCTGGGAGGCCCCAGGCCAGAAGGAAGGGGAGGGGGTCTTTCCGGGCAGAATTTCCCCCGTCCTGAAGATTTACTTTCTATTGCCGAGAACAGCCTTGATTCTCAAACTTTGATATTCCTTCAGTTCTGGCTAAGGGCGGTTGTTCTATTTTATTTTAGTGAAGGATATTTGGTTGGGGGGGGGGGGTGATCAAGGCACACCGGTGAGCCTCTTCTCCCCACTTCTGTCTTGCAGCCCAATTAAAGCGGTGAATTCTTTTCACTGCTGATTCTTCCCCCATCTTTCTTTCTCCTGGGGCACCCCGGACCACCCAGGAGCGGGAGCCCGGGTGGGGGCGGACACTTCCCCTCCGTATCCAATTTGTTCTCGCCGCAGCGGGCGCGTCTTCCTGGTTACAAAGCGCTTTTCCCCTGATGACTTTCTTCCCCTTTTCAAAAACACTTCACTCTCTCCCCTTCAGCGAGCAACCCTCCCCAGGCCCGCCCCTCCTCCTCCTCCTCCTTCTCTCGGGGTTTATTTAAACTTCGCCTCCTCCAGCATCGCCACAGCGCGCGCTTAATGAAGTTGAAGGCTCGGTGAGCCCCGGGTGAAGAGGGTTTGGAATCTGTTGAAAGGGGTGTTTTGTGACACTGATTGCGGCGGGGGTAGGAGCGGCCGCGGACCAGACAATGACCGATCAGTCGGGTTTTCCTCCGCGTCGGGTTAGGCGAATAAAGGCGCTGACGCTGTTTAAACGGAGGGACCTTGCAGAAGAAAGGGAGCAAAAGATGTCGAGTGTGGAGCGTGCCTCATAGGATTTTGAGCTTAGGAGGCGGCGATGGGAGGAGGCAGCTCGCAGAGGGTTTTTACGGGACCGGGCTCGGAATTTCTCTTGCATCCGGCCCAAGAGAAGCGAGGAGAGTTTGGGTTTGCGCCCAAATTAGCTCGGATGCGTGGTTCAAAAGGTTGCATTGGCTGGGACCTGGAGATGCGTCTAGGTCAGGAGGACCATCCAAAAAGATGAGACCCAGCTCACCTTTGTCTTGGCGGCTGGCGCTCTGAGATTTCTAGGGAAACGGTGGGCAGAGGGAGCCCAGGATAATTAAGCCTCCTAAGCTTTTTGTATATCGGGGCATCTGAGAGCAACACAAATGTTCATTGGAGTTTTGGAGAGGAATTATTTTGTTCTCTAAGGCCGGCCTAGACCCGTATCAACATAGAAAACTGTAAGGGGGACAGAGGTTCCCAGCTCCGGTTTGGAGAAAGATATTTTCCGCCAGTGAGTGGGCGCGGCGCGGGGCGGAGCGGGCGCCGCCTCCTTTCGCAGCGGAGCGGGCCTGGCGGCGGGAGGCTGCGGCCTCGGCAGAGGTCGGAGGCTTCGAGGCTCCCGGCAGCTGCGGAAGGAAGGCACCTCTCTGGAGCCTGTGCCCCTGGGCTGGACCGGGCGCTGTTTCCGACGCTCCCCGAGTCCCAGCTCCCAGCGCTGAGTCGGGGTCTCTGCGGAGCGCTCAATTTTCGCTCCACGCGGACTCCGTGGAAGCCGCTCGC